CAATCTAAATCTTCAGAATCTTAATCTAAATCTGTATCTGAATCTGAATATGAATTCTTTTCTTCCTTCACTTGGATTGCTATTTATAGAAGAGGAGAATGATGTTGGTTATGATGTTGATTTGTTGGCCAAAAGGTGTTTGAGGTGACTTCTTTTGGGAAGAGTCCCGACCCATGCATGCGAAGACATGTTTTTCTGATGAAAAGACAGCAATTACGTCTCCTGGAAACACGACTTGCGCTCGCGAGGTTACAGGTCGCGCTCGCAACTTATGCTTCAGTAGTCTCTGTCTCTCAGGAGTGCTTCTCGCGCTCGCGCAAATGGATGTCGCGCTCGCGACTTTTGCTTGTAAACTTTCTGACTTGCAGGAGTGCTTCTCAGTGATTCTCGCGCCCGCGCAGATGGATGTCGCGCTTGCGACTTTCGCTTGCAAGCCTTCTGCTTCTCAAAAGTGCTTCTCGTGCTCGCGCGGATGGAAGGCGCGCCCGCGATTTTTGCTTGCAAACCTTCTGACTCTCAGGAGTGCTTCTCGCGCTCGCGCACGTGAATGTCGCGCTCGGGACTTGTCTTTTCTGGGTGTAGGTTGCGTGCGCGACCTACGGTAGCGCTCGCGACTTGGGCATTTTCTTTGTTGCGACGTGCTTCGCGGCGCGAGGGCTGGATCAAGTCCATTTTTTTCAACTTGTTTTGGTCTTCTTTTGTATAAAACAAATCTTTGCTCCAACTGTGTTCTTGAAAATTACTTTAAAACAAAAACAACACAAACAAACGTAAAATATATAAAAACATCATGCATTCATGCAATTTATATGAAAACAACATACAAAGATTTGCTCGCTTTGCGAGGCTATCAAAGGTACCAAAATATCAAACTCAATTTTCCACCCACAACAACATCAATAATCCATCCTCAACCCCTAATGACTTCTCTAATTGTTACATAACAAACAAAATGCATAACCCAACAACCATCTTCCACTAGATTGCATTCATCTTCTTCTTACGTCCCTTATATTCTTTGATTCTTCTAAGTAATCCCAAAATGACATGCTGAATACGATTTGATATTAATGGATAATGCCATTGGAAGGAATTACACTTACCAGGCATCTGAAACCAGTGAAAATCAACATAATAAAATATTTGCTTCTATCTTATTTGAGATATTTTTCATTTTTTATATTTTCCCATGATTTTTTTTTTCAATGATGATTTGCACATCATGAGTTATAAAATTCAATTATGGTATATGAAAAAAATTAATTGTTATTTCTCTATGTTTTAAAATTGAAATAAAATAAAATAAAATTATGCTTAATAAAAATTATACCTTTTCTAGAACAACGCTCTCTAATTCAACACCTCTTTGTTCAGTTAAAAGTTAATCCATTTAAAATCTTTGCTTTCTATTTAACTCCCCTTATTAATCAAATTTTAATTTTAATTTTCTAAATTAAATTTAACATGATTTACCTCTCTTTTTTTTTGATGAAATTTTATGAGTTTTGTATTACAATGTATATATAAAAAAACTACTAAGATTTGCAACTTAAATATTCAAGCCTCAATCTAACTTAACTGCCATTTTAAGAATCAAAATATGCATTTCTTGTTTGAAAACAAGTCCTTATTTTGTTAAATAGATAGCTTTTGGTATTCAGTCCATAACATTTCTCTATAAAATATTTCTCTACCTTTGTTAATAGTTTTATGTTGCATATATATGGCTCTTAATGTTCTTTGTTATTAATTCTTTATGAGCTCTACTATTAGGTTTCAATATCAATAATACGCAATGGAATAATATAATTAAAATAAAATAATTATACCAACATGGATTCATTTAAAACGATTAAAGCAACAAAATTGTTTAGAAGAATACCTCTTTTGCAGATTCTCTTAAACTTGTTCTACGTGGCTAGATTGTCACAAACCACAAGCCGTCCAAGTGTTTGGCCTCTAGTAATATCCACACGAATGGATAATCGCAAAACTCTACAACTGTTTTAGAGGGTTCAGATGTTAGAGTGTATGATGGTCCTAGCTATCTTGCGCTCTATGTTTAGTTTTGTGGCTATGAACAATAACTACAATCTTTAGACTGCCTCTTAAATCTTATATATGAAAACTCTAGATCATAAATAAATAAATTATAATTATTTATTTAAACCTTTTAAATAAATAAATTATAACTAAAATATATATATGTGCCTATTTATTTATATGTGCCTATTATTTATTTTAAACAATTTTTAAATAAATTAAATCATACACATATATAATAGGATTTCAATTTAATCAATTATATTTATTGTATTTTAACTATTTAAATAAATAAATCATCATAATTAAAATATTAGGTTTATTTAATATAAAATTTATCTTAATAAATTTTAGACATAAATCAATTAAATCAATACTTAATAATTAGGTAAAATTGTAATTAAATATAAATTACAATTTTGCCCTTAATATCCCAAAACTAATTTGGAATCAAGTCATACTTGATTCGATTTCTCGTTTTTACTACTTTTTCATATCTATTCTTATGTGTATGACCTTCTAGGTTCCAAATATGTTGGTAACAAATATAAATTAAATTATTTAATTAATATTTGAAGGTCAAATACATTGTCTAGCAACATATCAAGACTACCCAAATATGACTACCCAAATATATTCGAATATCAAAGTGATTTGATTTAACCTTGTCAGTGCAATGACTTTTTTCAGTAGTAATTAATAATCCTTTCATCATTAATTGTTCTATTTAAGTAAATTTTAATGTTCTGATTTAGTAATTAGACATGTAATGTATCTGCTTTACTAAACCATGTTAGTTCTCTTAATCTTAGTCATTGATCATTTGAATGAAATTCTAAATCTAATTGACTAATTTCATTCTACCTTACGCAAGGGTTTCTTAATCAATACTAGTAGAGAACAATTAGAATATTTTTTCTTACTTTTCTATGGTGATGAATCCTCTCTTAATTACACAAATATCTCCATACATTACGTACTATGTCCAAAAAATTATTGTTTATTATTCATGAATGAATAATATGTACGAAGAATCAAAACATAGTCATCCCCATGCAAGATAACTTAGTAATTTCAAGTCAAAGGATCACTTACACAATAATCACTTGAGTATTCCATAGACACATGTAACTCTTCATATGGAATTCTTATACAGGTTAATTCAGTGTACTTGTTTAAATAACAAGCACCTACATATTAGTTGTAGATATTACATATATCTCAGCTTATGAGAACCGCTGTTTCCCTAAAGAAAGGATATAATATATATCAATCTCAACAGCTCTAATCATTGTCCAATAATGAGGAAAACATTAACTAGAAATATTTAGAGACATTGTTTTAATGCAAATATAAAACTCATAATTATAACCATATTATAATTTATTTCGCAAAACAGTTTTGTCTCATGGACTTTATCTTTTACATGGACTTTATCTTTTACATAAGATTCAATCAATAAGAATATAAAGAATAAATAAAGGCCTTTTATTAATAATAAAAATATTTATTGCATGAAAACAATCAATAGAATATAAAAGATAAATAAAGGCCTTTTATTAATAATAAAATATTTATTGCATGAAATATTATATCCAAAATATAACCAATTAAATTCGCTATAGGATATATAACTAATATCTATTTGTATGTGGTGTTTTTTTTCTTCATCTTGTTATGAATATATGACTGATACACGTATTTATTTAGTGTATATGTGTTTATGAATAATAAAATAAAATATATCCTACACAGCCGTGTGAAGAGTGGAGATTGGCCCATTACTAATAATATTATAAGCATTTATTTTCTTTTTCAAATATGATTAGAATCACAGCCAATTTGGTCAATTATTATTAAACTCAAATTATTGCTAATCAATAAAAAATGAATAATTAAAAAAACATAAATATTTAAGTATTTTTGTTATAATTTTCAACATAAATGTAATACTTAAAATATTATTCTAACTATTAAATTTACTAAATATTTTTAATTAGTAACTATAAATATAAACGATAAATATTGTTTTTCAACTGTTCATCAAATTCATTAGTGAATAAACAGAGTCATCCATTATAAAATATTTTCTTTTGTCTTTTTCTTTATCATTTTTTTTATTATTTTAAACTTGTAATGAATGTATAAGTTGTTAGGATGCATCACGAGAATAATGTGAAAATATATTTATTATGAAATCTTTTTACACCAAATTTTTTTTTGAGGGAAATTATTTATATCTTTTTACACCAAATTTTATAATATACTTGATTTTTATTACCAAAATTTAAATCGTATACATATCATCACATTTTAATCATATTTATTTCATTTGGAAGTTTACCTTTAATTAAAATTTAGGCAATGTTAACTAATTATGCTTCAAAATATTTTATCTTAATTTAGTGCATGCTAAATATGCTCACTTGGAAAATATGACTTCCTTCCTATATTAATGAAAACGAGACAAATTAGACGTTTTTAATTGCTTTTTAATATTTTGAGATATTAGAGAAAATTAATTTCTTAATTAATTATTTGATTGTAATGCAAGAATTATAATTTTTAATTGAATTTTAAATTCGGACTAAAGTTTCCCATATCTATATTTGATTTATAAATTTTCTATATTCATATTTGATTTACTTATGATTTAACCAATTTTTTTTGAATTATATAGTTTTACATATCAACTAGTATATACAATAAAAAAATCATCAATATTTTTTTTTTTGAGAAGATCATCAATATTATTACAGTTAAGAAAATTTAAAATTTTAACAAAAAAAATTATATATTAAATCCGTGCTATCCCTAAAGCTCTTTGATAAACATAAATAATTTGTTATTTATTTTTTTCCAAAGGTAAATTATTTGTTATTATTTTGTTAAATATAAAAGTCATTTATTTTTTCTAATTATATATTATATATCAGGAAGATATATTAGATATAGGATATAGGATAGGGCAAAAACAGTTTACCAATCCGATAAAGAAAAGGAATCATTAAATATTTAAACAACAAAATCTGGAGAGCAATTAGGGGTTCTAAACGAGTCCGCAACATCTCGGCTTTAATCTCCTGCTAGAAGTTTGTCCTCTGCAAAAGCCCAAAGCAAAAGAAAAGGTAAAAAAGCTCTGAAAAATTAGTTAGAGCTATGGCGGCAGCTGTGACTAGCGTGGTTCCGGCGGGGCGAAGTGCAAGAAGAGCCGCTGCAGAGGATGATAAGTTGGTGTTCGAGACAACGGAGGGGATAGAACCGATTGCAAGCTTTGACGAGATGGGTATTAAGAACGATCTGTTGCGAGGGATCTACGCTTATGGGTTTGAGAAGCCATCGGCAATTCAACAAAGGGCTGTTATGCCTATAATTAAAGGTCGAGATGTTATTGCTCAAGCGCAATCTGGTACTGGAAAGACCTCTATGATTGCTCTCACGGTTTGTCAACTTGTTGATACCTCAAGCAGAGAGTAAGTCCTATTTTATTTTACTTTTCCATCAACTTGTCGAAACCCTAATTACAAAATTTGGTAATAAAACCCTAATATTGTTTTATCATATAAACCCTAATTTAAAAAATTGGGTACAATCGGTTATTACTTTCCTATTTGTCAATTATTTGATGTTAATTCCTGGCTAGATTAGCTGTTATCTTTATTTCTGTTCTTGCTTACCGTGGCTTAAAAAGAAAATAGGATACAATTATATTGGTTTCAATGTTACAGGGTGCAGGCATTGATATTGTCTCCAACCAGGGAATTGGCGGCTCAGACTGAAAAAGTAATATTGGCAATTGGTGATTACATTAATATACAAGCACATGCCTGCATTGGAGGCAAAAGTGTGGGCGAGGATATCAGAAAGTTAGAATATGGAGTTCATGTTGTGTCTGGTACTCCAGGGAGAGTATGTGATATGATAAAGAGGAGGACTTTACGAACTAGAGCCATTCGATTATTAGTTCTTGTGAGTTGATTATTTCATCTCTCGTTCGCACAGTTATACAGTTATAAATGTACTGGTATACATCAACATAAGATTTTTTCTTACACTTTTATTATGCCTTGTAGGATGAATCTGATGAGATGCTGAGTAGAGGGTTCAAGGATCAAATTTATGATGTGTACAGATATCTTCCTCCAGAGCTTCAGGTGCTCTACACATGCATATTGAAGTTTGTTTATAAACACATTTAACTGCATTTATCTACCATACGTGTTGGACTTAAGTGTGCAGTATATGCACTGAATTATCCATTGAGGTTTTGGTTTTTTTTTTTTTTTTTTTTTTTTTTTTTTTTTTTTTTTTTTTTTTTGTTGGACTTAGTGCTCGGCCCAGTTAGGCAGCTGACATTACCCATCCATGAGGTTTTGGTTTTTTTTTACTTTTTTTTTTTTTTTTATTTTTTCTTTTTTTTTTATTGTTTGATCCGCTTGACATGGTAACCTCCGGTTCATTTCACATTCAAGAGAAAGTTGCCAAATCATGGGGGGCTCTTCCATACTTAATGTTAACTTGAAATTTTGTCCTCTGAAGTTGCAAATTATATTGCAGGTTCCAATCGCCGATTATGGTGTTTGATTTCTGCTTACACCTTCCTAATGAAACTTTGGAGATGACATAGCAAGTATCATTGGAACCGACTCCGGTAAAGGATTCTTTGTAGGAACACGTTGTGGATGGAATTGACTCTCTCGAAGGAGCTGGTGAGTGATTGTTAGATCTCTGACATGAGCTCTTGCAATATAAAATGGACATAATTCGTAGAATTTAACGGCAGCTTCTTCTTATTTTATCTTTTTTATTTTCGGTGGGCTTAGTAGACTGGAGGGCATCTAAGAGCAATTTTTTGATAGGCTGATTGAAAGGTGAATGTAGGGTGGAATAATTTGATACTTTGTGTGACCTCTATGATACTTCTGTACCTCTTACCCAAGCTGTTATAATTTCAAAATGCACCACACAAAAGACGGACCCAGGGTAAGCTCCACGTCAATTGAATCTAATCTTTCAGTTCTGCGTATTATGACTGTTTTGGATTTTATAGTGAGCATTCCTCTTTTGTAGATCTTCTATTTTTTTTTTTTTTTTTTTTTTTTTTTTTTTTTTTTTTTTTTTTTTGATTTGACATGGTACTGGGTCATGTTCACATCAAGAAAATGCAAATCTGGGGATCTTATTACTAATGTGTAACTTGAAATTTTGTCCTGAATTTGCATTTATTATGCAGGTTGTGTTGATTTCTGCTACCCTTCCTAATGAAATTTTGGAGATGACAAGCAAGTTCATGACAGATCCGGTAAAGATTCTTGTGAAACGTGATGAATTGACTTTGGAGGTGAGTGATTATTAGATCTCTGAATGAGCTTGCAATAAATGCAAATCTAGAATTTAACGGCAGCTTCTCTTATTTTATCTTTTTATGGTGGCAGGGCATCAAGCAATTTTTTGTAGCTGTTGAAAGGGAAGAGTGGAAATTTGATACTTTGTGTGACCTCTATGATACTCTTACCATTACCCAAGCTGTTATTTTCTGCAACACAAAGCGGAAGGTACTCCAGTCATTGATCTAATTTTCTTTCTGCTATATGATTTTTGGATTGTTATAGTGAGCATTCCTTTTGTAGTCTCTATTTTATTTGCAGATGAAAATTGAAAAATGAGACCTTTTGCTGCCTTCATTTTGATTTAATCTGTCAAATATCTAAATATCCATAAACATGAAAGAGAAAATCTATCTGTTATCCAAAATGAAGAAGGTTATTGCTGAAGTCCTTTTAACATATTTGCTGCAGATTACATGTCAGAATGGGGTAGCGTACAATTTATCTAGCATATATATATATATGGACAAACTGTAAAACTCAAGCCATTGCTTAAGATGTGTTATGAGATGGCTTATATATTTGTACAACATCGGGCTTTTGATACTAAAGTCGACTGCTGCATATTCAGAAGTGTGTATTCTGCCTGTATTCAAAATCCCTGTTTCTTGTGTCTAGTTTGGAAATTGGAAGTTTGATACATTAAATCTGTGTCTTTGTGAAAAATGAATAGTAATCCTAGGAACTAGACCTCTTCTTTGTCGGCTTCAATTCCAGTCACCTCCAAAAGAATTATGTTCTGTTATTAGTCCAAAAAACAAAAAAGATTGCCCCAAATAAAAATTCTGAAGCAAATTATTGTTCTTATGGGCAGGTGGATTGGTTAACAGAGAAAATGCGGAGTAATAATTTTACAGTCTCATCAATGCATGGTGACATGCCTCAGAAGGAGAGAGATGCAATTATGGGAGAGTTCCGGTCCGGTACTACCCGTGTTCTGATCACCACTGATGTTTGGGCACGTGGGCTTGATGTTCAACAGGTAAGTTTATTGCATACAGTATTCCTTGTTAATGTCTTTGTTCAATAGAAGTTATTGCTTATCCACTCTGTTTCTGTTTTGGAGAAAACTAGAGAAAAACATTACTACTATTAACTTATAGAGCTAAATAAAAGTTATTACTTATTAACATATTATTATATTATTATTTAAACGAAATTGAAGGTTGGTGGTCTGACCTTCACTTGGATATGACAATTTTATGACTGCTAAAACTTATTTTTCACTCTAGTGAAAGAAGGAATTCTGGATATTTTATGTCTTGATATTGCTCGTTGGTTTTTGGAAGGGTGCTATATTTTCTGAAATATAAGTTTGTTGCTATTATCAATTAAAATAAAGGACAAAGAAGCTATATATTCAATTTGGTTTGCACGGTGGCTGAATAATTTTCTCCTTTCTTGTTTTACCTTAATATTATTGCTGTGCTTAATTCTTGTAAATTTTGTGTAACCTGTAAATGCTTTTGGAGTGTGTTGTGTGTTCGCGTTAAGCATCTGATTGTGTTTTCCCTTTTTCTCTCTCTACTCTCAGTTTATTTACTTCTGCCTTGATGGGAATGAGCTTGTTTCTATTTTGCTTTTCTATGATTGTATTCTATCATGTTGGCTTATTCACTCCGTAGGTTTCTTTGGTGATCAATTATGACTTACCAAACAATCGAGAGCTGTACATTCATCGGATTGGTCGTTCGGGTCGATTTGGGCGGAAGGTATGTAATTTGATCTCAACCACAAAATGTGAATTGTCCAAAATATCTGTTTTCTAGGTTGCACTCAAATTTTTTTCTTTTAAGATATCTCAAACACCAGATACTCATTCTGCAATTCTTATGCCATTCTGCTGCTATGGCTGTACTGTGCTAGTTGCTTGATTTAATTAGTTGTGTTAATTGAATGGCATTTGGATGTTTTTCAGGGTGTTGCAATAAACTTCGTCAAAAGTGATGATATCAAGATTTTACGAGATATAGAACAATATTATAGTACCCAGATCGACGAAATGCCAATGAATGTTGCTGATCTGATCTAGAAAGACACACTTTGTAATTGTTTTGCCAGGATGATGGTGTTTGAAAGTTGTGTGATTGAGAATGTGGAGTGTATACTCCATGCTTCTAATGAGTTTGTATAATATTGGGTGGAGAATCAGTGTTTTATGGGTGGTTTTGCTTGACGATAGAATAGTTTTAACTCCATCAACTGACTTGACTGATTTTTTTGTTAACTTTTTATGATTGCTTGGACTTTTGCAATGGTTTTGGCCATGGTTTTTGTAGATTTTTATGTTTAAGTATATTCATCTTAATTTTATCTATTGAAATTTAATATAATTTTTAATTTTACAGTGAAATCTAGGCTTCAAATTTTAATTTTTGGGTAAATTTTCAAAATGCTGAATTAATCTAAAAAGGACTTTATTATCTATCCAGTAATCGCAGCTTCTAGCCTCACATAATTAATATATGTCCGTGCAAGGCCTGGTAATTTTCTTGTGCAAAAGTAGGATATTTTCTTCTTGTGCAAAGGTAGGGATGACAATTTAATCTGAATAGATAAATGTCTGCTCCGATCCGACTCACCAATGAATGTGTGCTTTGATCCGACACTAATGGATGGATTTTACCCGTTCAATAAATAGAGTGGGCAAATATGAAAAATTAGATTTCACCCGATCTGTTTAATAAATAGAGTGGGGTAAATATTAAAAATTATACCTGTTATGGATTTGGGTTGGTAATAGATAATACACCCATTTCGAATTCGATCTGATTATATTTTTATTTAATTGTACTTTTTTTAATTTATATATAATCAAAAAATTTAAAATAATTCTCTCTTTTAATTTTTATACTTGACTATTTATTTGATTTGATTCTTCTTGGATATCTATTTTTCTTATTTTGCTATTTGGTTTACTATTGATATTCTCAACTGTTAGTTTTTGATTTTTGACTTTTTTTTTCCTTTTATTTATTATGTTGAAATGGAACAATAAACTTGCTTTATTTTTCATTATGGTATATTATGCATATTTAATTATAGAGTTTTGTTTTCATTTTATTGATTTTACTCTATGTTTTATTGAAATGAGTATACAATATTGAATAAAATTTATTACAAATAATAAAAACTTGAAAAATAGAATTCAGATTTTTCAAATGAATTTACCCAACCCAATCTATACTTCGCCCTTCGCTATCCCAACCCAATCCCGTAACGGGACTGATGATGGTGTGGGTAATATATTTGCTTCATGGGGTGATGAAGGGTAATGTAATACTCGGTCCATATCCTACCCATTGCCATCTTGACTGAATAATTTTTCAATTTTCCTTACCGATACGTAGTCAAATGATTATAAAATGAGACGTGAAAAGCTAGAACTTTAAATATTATCCGCAGAAATATTTTATTGAGCCTGAATTGTGAAAATACAGTAGAGAAAATTTCTGTAGATTGTATCATACAATCTGTACCGAAAGAGAGAGCTAATAAAGGAATTATGTTTAGCCCAAATAAAAATTCATAGGCTTTGAAAGTGACAATTTAGTATTTAATTATAGTTAATCATGAGTTTATAAGTTTCTTTTTGTGAACTATTCAAAGCTTCTTTTTTATATATTTTTATTTCTAGATTGTTGAGTAGCTCATTAATTGAAAGTAGTCCTGTCAAAACGGGCTGTCCGGCCTAGCCTGCACGGGCCGAGCCAAAAAGCTCGATAAAAAATGAGCCTCTAATATTCAAGCCCGCCAAACCCATGCGGGCCCACGGACGGGCCCAAACATGTCCATTTTGAACGTTCATCTTTTTTTTTTTTTTTAATTTTACCTTTTTTTGTTTTTATTAGTTTTGTATGTCTATTGGAAGAGTCTTGACATGGAAAAAAGAGGAAAACATCTCTAAGAATTCAACCTAGAATTATTAAAAGTTTATCCAATGTGATTTCCATTAGGCTTATTTTCCTTTTTATTTTAAAGTTTTATGATATGTATATATATATTACTTTAACGCGAGCCCCCGCGGACCCATTCGACCTGTCCCGCGCGGGCTTTGTTAAAAAATGGGATGAGTAAAAGCCCATCTTAAAAACGGTTCTCAATTTTCATGTCCGTATCTGAACAAATTATGGGAGATCATGGTTGTCCGCTGGGTTAAGCTCATTTTGACAGTACTAACTGAAAGTAGGAGGTAAAAAAGATTATTGAATGGTGTTTGTAAGGTATTTGATTATTGTGCAAGTAAGGAAAATATTTAGATTGATGGGAAAAGAAAGATTGAAGGTTAAAAAGAAAAAATTGTAGTGATTAGTGATGTTTCTTGATTCTGGTTGGGTTTAATTGAATTCGTATAGATGGTGTATTGTTTGATAAAACTGAAATTTTAAGCGGCTGAAGAAAAATCATGAATTGGTTAAGGAAACTTAATAAAAATAATGGTGGCAATGGTACTATAGTAGTCGTATTGATGGTGCTGCTACTGACGATGATTATGGGTTGTGTTGGTAGTGGATGATGGTTTGGGTGATTTCAACTGTGGTAGTTAATGAGCATGTTTATGTAGTGGCTGCTTAGGAAACAAAATGGATTTGGCCTAAATCATAAATAGAAAATGTTTGCTTTACATATCAAACATCATCATAGTTTTGCGATATTCAAATTTTACAGAGGCTGACACACCTTAATATTTTCACTTAATTTTTCAATCTATTTTGATTTTTAGGACAATGATTTTTGTGGAAATGGGGTTACTTTTTGTGCAAATTTAGCATGTTGCTCTTTGTACCTTCTTAGATTTGCATGTTTCCAATATTTGATTTGGTGGGGCATAATGTTTTTCAATATTAAATTATTGTATTTATTTTGATTTAAACAGGATGTCAAATTCAGCTTTTGAACAAGTACCTTCCACTAATTTTCTTTCTACTCAAGATTCATCTAGAAGTCCAGTCATGGATGATACTATAGCAAGTGTTGATGAAGAGAATATAAACAAAGAACAAAGGTGCTGCTTTGACAACTGATGAGGACTAGAAAATCCATTTGCTCCAAAGAAGAGGAAGCGAACTTCTAAAGTGTGGTTCGAGTTCAAAGAAGTTATACTTCCCGATGGAACTATGAAGATAGAATGTATTCATTGCAAGATTAAGCTTAAAGTTAATCTTACTAGTGCCACAACACATCTTTTTAGACACATGAATAATTGTATGGCAAGGAAAGAAAAATGAAGGGACAACAACAACTCAGTGTTGCCATAATTTTAGCTGAGACGAAAAGTGTCTTGTGTTCAGAATTTCAAATATGACTAGGCAAAGATAAGAGAAATTCTTGCACATATGATTCTTATTCATGAGTTGCCATTTGCTTTGCTGAGTATGAAACCTACTTATGAGAACTGCAACTCCATATTATCATAAAATTAGTCTTGCAGCTGCAAAGAAAGATTATTTCACTGCTTATGAAATTGAGAAGAAAAAAGTGAAGGATTTGCTAAAAGATGTCGACAAAGTCAGTGTGAAATATTTATGGAAGTCAGGGCAACATATCTCATACATGGTTGTTATCTATCACTTTGTTGACTCAAATTGGCAATTGCAAAAGTGAACATTGAGTTTTGTTGATATCCCACAACCTCATATAGGAGTTGCTATTTGTGATGCACTACACAAATGCTTAGTCAAATGGGGAATTGAGGATAAGGTATGGACTATTACTATTGATAATACCACCTATACTGATGTTACTGTTGGATTGTTTAAAGATAACCTTATTTACAAGAATTCTCTTGTACTTAATGGTAAATTATCTCATCTGAAGTGTTGTGCACATATCTTAAATTTATTAGTATAAGATGGATTATCTGAGATAAATGATATAGTTCATAATGTGCGTGAAAGTGTAAAGCATATTGCAAAAGCCGAGAATCATCATTTGATTTTTGGTGAAATTGCCTTTAAAGAAGCTTATTTTGGATTGTGTCATAAGATGAGATGCAACCTATTTCATGCTATCTGCTTCATTGGAATTTAAGAATGTCTTCCCTCGATGTGCTAAAAGAGATCTAAATTATATTTACTTGTACAGTGCAGAAGATTGGAGAAAAATTAAAAAAGTTTGCCCTTTTTTGCAAGAATTCAACGAGGTAACCAATATCATTTTTAGGTACTGAATATCCAACTTCAAACTTATTTCTTCTTGAACTTTACAATATTAAGAAATTGTTGAATGAAGCATATGCAAATGGAAATATTTACATGAAAACCATGGTTGATAAGATGAATGATAAATTTAATAAGTACTAGGGTAATTGTAATTTGTTGATATCTATAGCAGTTGTATTGGATCCAAGAGCTAAAATGAAAGCGATCGAGTGAATTTTTGTAGAGATATATTATGAATATGATACTATCGAGCATAAGGTTACAATTCGAAAGACTTTAATTATGCTTTACAATAAGTATATTGAAGCATATAAAGAAAAAAAATATTGGGATTGATCAAGTTATTGGTAGTGAAAATCAAAGAGAAGGATCTGGTTCTAATGGTGGAAAATGGAAGGTTAGTAGGAGAGCAAATTTTATAGTCAAACTAGAACTGTTGATACTATTGTAGACCAGATGAAGAATAAATTAGATGTGTACTAGGAAGGAGTTCATGTTTGTGAAGATGATGAAATCTTTGATACATTAGAGTGGTAGAAGGTGAACAACATGAGATTCAAAATTTTATCAAAGGTGGCATGTGACATACTTTCAATACCCATCATCACTGTAGCTAGTGAATCAGCATTTACTGCAGGAGGTAGAGTTGTTGATCCATATAGATCATCTTTGTGTTTAGGTTTTAACTTGTCGGTCTGATTGGTTTTGAGCCTTCTATGGAATAAAGAGCAAAAAAAGAGTAAATGCACTAACCATTATATTGCAAATATTCAATATGAATTTTTAGTTTTGTAGCATGAATTAATTAATTTTTAATTGTGCTTCTAATGTAGGACAAGGAGGATATTCAAGAGATTATATTACCATAATAATATGCTTTGGAAATCTGTTTTTAGGTATAATTTTAATTTTATGCATCAAAGATATAATGTGTGATAATTGCGAACTACATTAAAATATATTTAGTAGAAAAATTATGTAGTATATTTAAAATATATTAAACAAAAGAAATTCAATATTTATACTTCATGTTTACATTCTTATAGGTAATTAATTGATAAAAATTCACTATTTACTACGATTAGAAGTCAATACATTAATTGATTGTGTTCTTTAATTATATGTTGATTTGCGG